CCGTGACCCCAAACTACCAGAGCATAACCGACGTGCGGCAGTTTGGTCGTGGTGGCATTGTATGTCGGACACCAGATCAGCAATGTGTAAAGGATCTTCTTAAGTATTCTTCCTTTGCTTCGATCCCGGTAAGTGCGTATATACCAGAACATCTCGCATGCACTAAAGGCATTGTGCGTGGGGTTGACGGACAACTAAGCCCTGCGGAGACACTCGAGAAGCTGTCGGTGGCAGGTGTGGTTGCAGTTTACCGGTGCAATAGACTCGCTGACAACAAACGACATCCCACAGAGTCAGTGATTGCGACTTTTGAAGGTACGTCGTGTCCTTCAGAAATTAAAGCGTGGCCATTAGTATTTCGAGTAGATCAGTTAGCGTCCCGCCCATTGCAATGTCAGAACTGCTGGAGGTTTGGACATAGCTCTCGTGGCTGCAAATCGGAGGGTCGATGTCGTAGATGTGGTGAACGCCACTCAGATCAAGATTGCAAGGCCCAAGATGACTTGTGTTGCTTGTGCGGTGGACATCATGCAGCTGATTTCGCAGAGTGCCCAATGCGCCATGAAGAAGTACAAATACTAGAAATCCTAGACAAAAGGAGATGCTCTATAAAGGAAGCCATTGCAGCTGTTAAGGAGAGAGCCCATGGCTATGCTGGCGTTACAACACGTCATTTATGTCAGGATACTAATATCGCGCAGGCAGTTGAGGTTGCGGTAGGAAGAGCTATGGCTACAGTTAAGGACCAATTGGTAACTAGCATTTCCGAATGCATAGCACAAGTTTTCAGTAATCAAATTACTAAACTGTTAATTCCATCTGCATTGGGTAATCCTGAGCCCAATAAAATACCGACTACCAGTGATGCTACTGCAGTATGTAATGATGAGCTGAATAACGCGGATAACATCCGGGGCTCCTCAGAGTGCATAACAAACGTTGAACAAGATCAAGTGTCAGGCCTAAGTGTGTATACTGATCTCGAGCTTGATGCTCGGGCACAGAAACGCAGCCGGTCCCTATTGAAGCATGATGTTTCAAGTTCCCTTCCGTCAAATCCCAAAAAGACTATGTCTAGTAAAATACTTCGAGAAAGTATTTTGGAGAAAGCTATCTCCGCAACAATTCTTACACAAAAATAGCGTCCATGAGAATTCTGCAGTGGAATTGCCGTTCTCTATTTGTTGCTCTTACTGATTTACATTTCCTGTGTGATAAAATAAATCCCCATTTATTCTTACTTCAAGAATCTTGGATTGCTCCTGATACTCATATTTATTTTAAATATTACCGTTTGTTCAGACTAGACCACCCTACGAGAGGTGGCGAAATAGTGACAATGATTTCGAACAAACTTTGCCACAAAGCCAAACTGATGTTAAAGTTTCTCTCTGCGGCATACGAAATATTAGTTGTAGGCTTAACTCTCCAGAGCAGGCAGGTTGTGACAGTAGTAAATGCTTACTTTCCTTCAGGCGTACATGACACTCGGCCATTAGATAGCTTAATAACCACGTGTGGAGCAAACGTTTTACTAGCAGGTGATTTCAGCTCCCACCATGTCACATGGGGAGTAAACACGAATACGTGTGGCAGCCGGTTGTGGAATTGGGCCCAAGATAATCATTTTTCATGACAGAATTCGGGAAGCCCAACATACGTATGCAGTCATACTTCTTCAGCGATAGATTTAACTTTTACAAGCTCCAACCTTAATGTTTCAGCTTGGTCAGTCGTTGATTGCGCAACAAACAGCGACCACTTACCGATAACTTTCGAAATAGACATTCAGATAGCCTCATAAATCTCTATTACTTGTACGCATATTAACTACTCAAAATTTAAGGATTCCTTCCTTTCTTCACTGTCTTCGTTGTCAGATAATAGCTCGATGCCAAAGGCGCGGAGCTTATATTCATTATTAAAGAATTCCTGTGAGAAATCGGAATTCGTGGTGTCGTCAGCGAATCATAACTCGAATTCTCCTTGGTGGAATGACGATTGCTCGAGGGACTATAGACGCAGAAAGGCAGCATGGAAAAAGCTTTTGTACAATCGGTGCCCTCAAAAATGGAAAGATTACCAGTTCGTTGCAGGCGTTTTTAAACGTACAGTTGCCAAGTCAAAAGAAGATTACGAAAGGCGGAAGTTCGATTATCTTTATAGATCCAAGAATAAAAAAGCGTTATTTAGATTCCTACGTAGAAGAAAAATGATTCCGCAATCAATAAATGCAGACTCTATCATTTTGTCGGCTGAAGAAACAAAAGCTTCATTAGAAGTGATTTGAAAGGAATTAGAGCAACGTTTCTTCAGCCAACTATCACCACCTCCTTCACCGGCGCTAAGAAACGAGGACTTCACAGACGTTTCCAGGCATGAATCGTCGCAAGTGTTAGCTAACTTGCCATCAGCAGCTCTGTGCCCTGACGGTGTTACCTCGTTCATGTTGAAAATGATGCATAAAGAGTGCCAAGAATACCTATTGGATATAATCAACTATTCTTTAAGTACGGCATGGCTCCCATTGGAGTGGAAAATAGCAAACGTAATACCAATACTGAAAGCTCCGGGTAAAAGATACGTTTTGGATAACATTAGGCCCATTGCGTTAACCTCAAACTTTGTAAATGTAATTGAGAGAATCCTGAACGTTCGAATAACAAATTTCATCAATGAGAGAGAAATTCTGAATCCATCCCAATTGGCTTCAGATCCGGATGCTCCATATGGCAGGCCCGTATAGACCTTGAAAGTCGCATAAAATTACATAAGCGGGAAGGAAAATATGCTGCGTTCGTCACTCTCGATATAGCAAAAGCGTACAACAACGTTGAGCTTAGTGTTAATCAACCAGCTGCACAACCTTAACTTCCCAAACTATATACAGTCATGGATAGCAGAATTTTCGCGCAATAGAACGTTTTATTGTTACAAAACGGCATCTCGTCTTCTGAATATGTGCAAACAAGAAGTGTCCCGCAAGCGGCCGTCCTTTCCGCGGTGTTGTTTAATATCTTGATGAGCTCTTTACCTCGGCACCAGGACGTCCACACTTATGTATATGCGGACGACATCGCATTCTTTTCAGCAGCAGAGGACATTCATAGGCTATTTAAAATATTACAGACATACCCATCGGTCATATAAATGTGGCTTGATAGCCTACATCTGTATTTAAATGTCAAGAAATGTCCCGTTTTAACATCTGCACTCGAAGACCCTTTTCACATTTCGCTCTCCTATCACCTGGATACCATTCCTCAAGTAGTGAATGTGAAATATCTGGGGGTGACCTATGACCAATCAATGTCTTGGAAGACACACATTGAAAACATTGCAGCAAAGGCAGGTCGTGCGATGGGAATATTAAGCAAAATTAGTAATAGTCGCTTAGGTATGCGGAGAAATACTCTTATCTCAGTGTATTGTATGTACATTCGCCCAGTGCTTGAGTTTGAGTGTGTCTTATACGCGGGGGCACCTGCCTACAAGATATATCTGTAGTAGCCAACGTATGACGCGCCGTACAGACGTCACAGGCTACGTCATGTGCCTGTACTTATATTGGCATGTGAGCCGCTCGCTTATTGCATTAAACCTTCGCCACCAACTGAGTCCAGCATCGCCTTGCTCGCCGGCTACAACAGATGGCGACGAGGATGGGATAGGCTGCACCGAACGACGGGGCCGGATCCTGTGAGCAACGACAGCTGGAAGGTGAAAGGCAAGGTATGGCGAAGATGTGGGAATTTGACACCTTCATAGAAGAAGGAGACGAAGATTTCGCATCGTATGTAGAACGGTTTGGGCACTATTGCAAAGTAGCCGGCGTACAAGACGAAGAACTTAAAAAGTCAGCCTTCATCTGTGCCATATGAAAGAAAGCGTACAAGACGCTCACGGACCTTCTTCTACCTGCAAAACCTGAAGAGAAGACGTTCAAGGACTTGGTGAAAGTGCTGAGTGGCCACTACGAGCCTTCAAGTCAAGTCATTGCGGAGCGTTTCAAATTCAACAGGAGGTACCAAGGAGAAGGAGAGTCCGTCGCGGCCTTTGCAGTCACGCTGAAGCACATGGCAGCCAAGTGCAACTACGGTACGTTTCTCGACGACGCTTTACGGGACCGGTTCGTCGCTGGGTTACGGAATTCCACCATTCAGACGGGTTTACTGAAGAGGAAGGAACTGACGTTCGAATCAGCCTGCGTTTTTTCTAAGAGCGTTGAGCTAGCAGAGCGGGAGTCGAGGGGATTCCGACCAACTGCGAATACGGATTCCGATATTCACGCTCTAAAGAAGACGGGGAAGGAACCGGAGTTGGCTGGCAAGCCGAAGAACAGTTCAATGCAAAGCTGCTATCGATGCGGTCAAGAGCATGACGCCCGTTGCTGCCGTTATCGTAAATTCAAATGCCATCTTTGCAAGCGCGTGGGACATTTGGCGCGCATGTGCAGATGCAAGCAACCGGCGCCGGGCACCGTCCACAACGGGAGTGACAAAGCGAGCGGAGGCACAGAGCTGCTGCTGCACGGTGTGTATCTGGTGGGCACGGAACAACCATATGAAGTTGAAGTACAGATATCCGGCCAGCTTGTGAAGATGCAAGTAGATACGGGCGCAGCCGTATCACTCGTTCCGGAATGCGTTTACCGGCAGCTAAAGCAGCCGCCGCAGCTTGCGAAGTGCGAGATGAAGCTCAAGACTTATGGCGGAGCGACGCTACAAGTGAAAGGCCAAGCGGAGGTTTTGGTCAATTATAAGGGACAGCGGAAAGTCCTGCCAATCATCGTGGTACCAGGAGAGAAGCCAGCACTCCTAGGCCGCGACTGGATTGCGAACCTCGGAATGGACCTAAACAGCATTCACGAGGTGCATGCACAACCGTCTGTCGACAGCATCCTGTCAAGGTATGCCTTGACAGGATGAAGGTAGGTGTTTTCACCTGGTTTAGGGTTGATAAAGGGTTACCAAGCAAAACTGGTGCTTAAGGAAGGAAGAATGCCAGTCTTTTGCAAGGCGTGGTCTGTGCCGTATGCCATTCGTGAACCTGTCGAGCATGAGCTAGGCAACTTGCAAAAAGAGGGCATACTGATGCCCGTAACCCGCAGCGACTGGGCCACGCCGCTGGTAGCTGTTCACAAGCCAGACGGCACAGTACGATTGTGTGGAGACTATAAATTGACGGTGAATCCATGTGTAAAGACCGACCATTACCCACTGCCCGCCGTGGAGGATTTGTTCACGACACTCGCTGGGGGCAAGGTTTTCACCGTTCTGGACCTTTCGACGGCATATCAGCAAATCGAGGTGCACCCTGACTCGCGACCCTTGCTGACTATAAACTCTCACATGGGGTTGTTCCAGTATGTTCGAATGCCGGACGGAATCTCAAGTGCACCGGCAGTTTTCCAGGCAATCATGAACGAGCTGTTGAAAGGACTACCGGGAGTGGTATGCTACCTCGACGACGTCCTCATCACGGGAGCATGGCATACCGAACGCCTGGCCCTGGTTGGGAGCAGTCCTGCAGGTCTTCAGGGACCACGGCGTAAAAGTGAGAAAGGAAAAATGCAAGTTTTTCTTGAATTCTGTCAAATATCTTGGGCATATCATTGACGAAAATGGTGTGCACCCGTGCGTCGAGAAGGTTGAAGCCATAAGGGAAGCACCCACACCTAAGAGCATCAGTGAGCTTAAAGCGTACCTTGGCATGATAACTTTTTACTCCAAGTTCATGCCAAACATGTCTTCGAGGCTAAAGCCTTTGTATGCACTGCTTCAGAAGGATAAGAAGTGGGTCTGGTCCGCAAAAGAACAAAAAGCCTTCGCGGAGAGTAAGAGCCTCCTTACGCAAGCGAGCGCGCTAACATTCTATGACCCAAAGAAGCCTCTTGGATTAGTCTGCGACGCCTCTCCTTACGGGGTTGGTGCAGTGTTGTTTCACGTCGTGAACGGGGAAGAAAGGCCGATAGCTTATGCGTCATGCACTTTGAGCAAGGCCGAAAGTGGCTACGCACACATAGAAAAGGAAGCGTTGGCTGTGACTTTCGGAATCAAACGGTTTCACAAGTATCTTTACGGCCGTGAATTCACCATTTATTCCGATCACCTTCCCCTGGAGGTACTGCTGGGGCAAACAAAGCCAATTCAGCAAATGGCAGCAGCACGCATGCAGCGCTGGATGCTAGTGCTAGCTGCATATCGCTACAAATGGGTGTACAGAAAGGGAGCCCAAGTAGCAAACGCGGACGCGTTATCGCAATTACCACTTCCGAACGACACCGACGAAAGCGACTACGTTCACTTCTTTTCAGCAGTAGAAGCCGTACCACTATCTGCGAAAAGGACCAGTGACGAAACCCCAAAAGACCCAGTTTTGTCTAAGGTGCTAATGTATGTTTTGAATGGATGGCCATCGTATACGTGTCAGAAGACACGTACGATGGCCGTGGCTTCTGACACGGCCATCGCTTATCGCTTTTGCATGAAGGGCATCCAGGCATCACTCGCATGAAAATGCTATTAAGAAGCCATGTGTGGTGGCCAAAGTTGTGCGACCCGCATTGAAGAAACGGTAAGAGGTGTTCAACTTGCCAACTAACGCAGAACTCTGCGCCCCACGTGCCGATATTATCGTGGGGATGGCCAACCCGCAGGTGGCAGAGAGTTCACCTGGATTTGCCTACTACAAGAACGACTGGTTTTTAGTGCTTGTCGATGCGCACATCCAAGTGGTGGATGTTCTGCACATGAAGTCCACTACAGCACAGGCGACAGTTGAAAAACTACGCACTGTTTTTTGCTGCATTTGGGCTTCCCGAGAGAATTGTGACTGACAATGGGCCGCAATTTGTGTCTGCTGAATTCACGAATTTTCTCAACTCCAATGCAGTGCAGCACACCAAGACACCACCTTACCACCCAGCTTCAAATGGCACGGCGGAGGGGCTTGTCCAGACCGTCAAGTGAAGCTTCATCAAACAGCTACGAGCAGAACACGGGCGTGACTCGGACGATGCAACATCGGGTAGACCAGTTCCTGTTCACCTACCGAAACACACCGTGTTCGACGACCGGTAAGACGCCAGCCGAACTGTTTCTCTCATGGAGGCCACGAACGAGGCTGAGCATCTCGCATCCGGAGCTAGCGAAACGTGCCGAAGCAAATGTAGCTCGAAGACAGGGTCAGGAAACCCATGCTTCATGGAGGGAGTTCGAGGTTGGCGACAACGTTCGTGTGCGAGGAAACCGACCGAGTGATCCACGTTGGTTGGAAGGAACAGTTGTGCGAAGAGTTAGCAAAGGAACATACATAGTCCGAATCGAAGACCACGAGCGCTTTCTGCATGCGGACGATATTGTTCCTCACACATTCCTTGCTCCTCTTCTCAGAAGCGTGTGGATTCCTGAGCAAACCCGCATGGCACAGCCGGGTTCCACTCCGCCACAAAGCGACAGCGACACCGCATCGCCACCGGACGGGCCTGCACCAGAGCAACGACTTCCACCACCTGACCGAGCCAGCGTGACGGAACTGCCATCACAGCAGGCGCCTGACGCCAGCTCCCAAAAAAACGTCGCGCCACCTGAATTGCGACGAAGCACAAGAATTCGAAAGCCTCCCGAACGTTTTGGCTATGCTGCTAAATAAAGGGTGAAGAGATGTAGTAGCCAACGTATGACGCGCCGTACTGACGTCACAGGCTACGTCATGTACCTGTACTTATATTGGCATGCGAGCCGCTTGCTTATGACATTAAACCTTCACCACCAACTGAGTCCAGCGTCGCCTTGCTCGCCGGCTACAACAATATCCTCTGGTAGTCATAGAGAGACAAGCCTTGAGACTATGCTTAGGTCTCCCCAAGTTTGTTTCAATCAAGATCTTGTATCTTGAAGCTAGGCTTCCCTCACTTGCGACCCGTTTTAAATTGTTAGCTACACAGGCATTTCTTAGGCTCTATGAATCGCCGGGCGCTTAGAAACAGTTTTTATTGACCGTCCTTGTTTTTTAGGCAATACTGGCCGAGATCTCGTATACACCAAATTCTGGTTATACAGCGCTTTCTAGATGATTTGGATGTTCAAACTGATGCTGTTCCTTTAATCAGTACCATTAACAATGCTATTAAATTACAGTTTGATGATATATTTCCGAAAAATTCAAAATTTATGCCACTCAGTTTTTTAAAAGTTATATTAACAGATTACATGGAACATACGCCCACAACAAGCAGTCATAGCAACTGATACGTCAAGAAGGGAAGAAAAATGTGGAATTGGTATTTTTTCTCTCCTGCCCTATAAATAGACTGGTCCTTTTCGCTTCGCCTTCCAGATTTTGTGCCCATATTTGAAGCAGAATTTTTGCGATAAATCTAGCTCTCCGTAAAATAACTGCTTCAGTAAGAACCGCAAATATTTTAACAGATTCACTATCAGTATGTGCCTCCCTTACTACAGATGAAACTCGCATTCTCAGAATTCTTTCAAAGCATTAGTTCCCTCGCATCTCAATCTGATCAAACTGGTCTCGGTTACTGGACATAAGGGCATTTATATGAAGGCAATGGCAGATGCGTTGGCCAAGTCATCTTTAAATGGGCCTGTTATTGATGTATTACCGGCATCGAAATTCTTGATAGGCGCTAGATTAAGAAGGAAACTACTGTTAGAGGAATTTCCTAGACCTTCACTAACAGCCATACCAGAATTCAAGCACTTGTTATACCATTGGAATAGTAAAATATGTCAAACGCGAGGAACGGACGCCGCAATCACTAAAATGCGCTGTCAAATTCCACAGCTGAAGTTATATTTATACAAAGTTGGTCTGGTAGCCTCCCCTCATTGTCCTGTTTGTGGAGTAAATGAGTCCACTGAACATTATCTCATTTATTGTAATAGATTCTCTGCCTTACGTGAAAAACTCTTTAGGTGCTGAAAATGTGCTTTCTTTCGGGGCTTTGTGTCTAGGCCACAGCGATGGGAAGATGGTTGACGCATTGCAGGAGTTCGTCAAAAGTTCAAAGAGGTTTAGGTGTTGAAATCATAGTACGGTAGATTTTGAAATTTCCAAATTCATATTAAATCGAATACGACGCTTTAATGCATTACCCTACAGATTATTTACCATTCAACCATCAAGTTCGTCTTGTTGCATCTTTTTTTATTTCTCATAAATGGATTAATTTTAATCTGTTATTAAAGAAGAAATTCATGAAAACTATCCGGGTCTTGGCCCATCCCCCAATGTGGGTATGCGCCACATTGTCAAGGATCTTGACTTGACTTGACTTTGTCAGTTTCTGAATGCACAAGCAAGCGCATCTAGTGAGGTGCACCGCTCGTGCCTTGACTTTAGCCACCAATCAGATAACCTCCTTCTAGTTAAGTCTACCCGCTTAAAGTCTATTTTGCCCTCCCGGTCTCTAAACCCCAATGCTTTGAAAAAAATGCCGCCATATCCACGAAGTGAATGATGATGAGTGGGCGAAGCTCCGGAGGTAAACCTGGTAAACCATGAATCCTCCGTACATTTTGCCCACTCGATTTTATTGCAACGCTCCCCCTAGCGTACGTCGCCGCACTATATCGAACGATGACACGCGCCATATGTGGCATCATTCCTATTTTATAACACCTCGCATCTTTCATAATCAACTACACGTACCGCCGTCTAGTTTATAACATCTTGCATCTTTTGGACGGACGGACGGACGGACGGACGGACGGATGGACGGATGGGTGGATGGACGGACGGACGGACGGACGGACGGACGGACGGACAGACGGACGGACAAGACGGATGGATGGGCGGATGGATGGACGGAAGGACGGACGGTGGACGGATGGATGGATGGATGGACGGACGGACGGACGGACCGACGGATGGATGGATGGGCGGATGGACGGACGGACGGATGGATGGATGGATGGAAGGATGGATGGATGGACGGACGGACGGACGGATGGATGGATGGATGGATGGATGGATGGATGGTGGATGGATGGATGATGGATGGATGATGGATGGTGACGGATGGATATGGCTGTACCCTTTAGATCGGGCGGTGGCTAGCGTAATACTTAGAACAGAACGAGCGGTGGCTACATACAGGGGACGCACAACCCACGCCTTAAGGAGCTTCGCTCCTAAAACTCTGCGCCATCATCCTGAACTATAGGGTGAAGCCCTTTACAGAACATCATCAAGTGTTCGGGAGTTTCCTCCTCCTCGTCACACACACTGCATACCGTGTCTAGCCCTTCGTATTTGGCCCGATATGTCTTCGTTCTAAATACTCCGGTGCTGGCCTCAAACAGTAGAGAACTACCCCGAGTATTACCATAGATCCTTTCCTTGGCAATTTCCTGCTTAAAAGTTCGATAGATCTCTAGTGCAGACTTCTTAATCATGCCCATTCTCCACATGTCAGTCTCCGTTTCCTTCACTTTCTTCTTAACCGATAGTTCTTTTTGGTTCGGCCACCTGCTGTTTTCTTAGTATTTACCAGTCAATTTCCTGGTTCGCTTCCTCCATTTTGTATCGACATTCTTCATGTACAAGTAGCTGAAAACCTTCCTAGTCCAACGCTCCTCCCCCATCTCTCTCAATTGCTTCTAAAATTTTTTCTTGCTGCTACCTTCCCTGCCCTCAAATGATGTCCATCCCATATCACCTTGTACTCCCTGATTTGGTGTATTCCCGTGAGCTCCCAAAGCAAGCCTACCTATTCCACGTTGCTTAATTTCTAATCTTGCTTGAACTTCTGATCTCATGCACAAGACCGCATTGCCGAACGTCAGCCCAGGAACCATGACCCCTTTCCATATTCCTCTCACAACATCATACCTATTGTAATTCCACAGTGCCCTATTTTTCATCACTGCTGCATTCCTGTTACATTTAGTCGTCACGTATATTTCGTGTTCCCTCAGGTACTCGGTCCCATTGCTTATCCATACGCCCAGATATTTGTATTTTTCTGTTATCTCTAACGTGACCTGCTGTATTCTAACCTAACTACCTTCGTTGTCATGAAAAATCATGACTGCTGATTTTTCCTTACTGAATCTATAATCTAACCTATCTCCTTCATTACCGCAGATGTCCATCAATCTCTGCAAATCTTCTTTGTTGTTGGCCATTAGCACTATATCATCTGCGTACATTAATGCTGGTAGTGCCTGATCAATGAGTTTTCCTTGTTTGACTAAAGAGAGGTTGAAGCCCAGTCCACTTCCCTCTAATTTGGCCTCTAATCCTTGTAGGTACATCATGAATAATGAGGGTGACAGTAGACACCCCTGCCTGAGCCCCCGTTTTACCTCTGCAGGCTTGGATACCTGTTTTTCCCACTTTATAACTACCTTGTTACCTTTATAGATATCCTTTAAAAGATAAGTGACTACATGCTCCGCGCCTAGTGTGTCCAGTATTCCCCACAATTCCTCTTGAACCACGCTATCATACGCTCCCTTGATATCCAAAAATGCTAGCCACAGGGGTCTGTGTTCCTTTTCTGCTATTTCGATGCACTGCGTCAGTGAGAACAGATTGTCTTCCAACCTCCTGTGTTTCCGAAACCCATTCTGCAGTTCTCCTAGCACACCCTCATCCTCTATCCATGCCTGCAGTCTTTCCTTTATAATCTGCATCGCCAGCCTGTAGACCACTGATGTCACTGGTATAGGACGGTAGTTGTTTATGTCAGCTTTGCCCCCCTTTCCTTTATAGATCATGCTCATCCTTCTAAGTTTCCATCCATCGGGAACTTCACCATCGATTATTATTTTGCTCACTGCCTCTCTCAAAGCCTGCTTAGACTTCGGACCTAATGTCTTTATTAGCATATTTGGAATGCCATCTGGACCTGTTGATGTACTACTAGGAACCCTTTTTTTAGCCCTTTCCCACTCTCGTTGTGAAAATGGAGCCATTGCACCACTTGATTCGTCCTTGTCTA